CAACATAGCATCATGACGAGAAGACGCTGCAATGCAAAGATAGTTCAGCCACTTTGTTTTCATTTACCAGGGACGAGCATGTGAAGAATCGGTGGTTAGAGTTCATATTTGCAGCGATACCACAACAGTATAGCCGATTGAGTTCTCATCATTTTAATGATGAATCGTTCAAAAACATAAATGAATTCAAATGTGGATTCGCAAGCGGTTGTTCTTGAAGGAGGGCTTAGTAACTTACTTACCCAGTGTATATGGATCAGCTTCCTCCTTCGAATCACAACCTGTAAGTATTATTAATAATTGTTGCTTTTATGGGTTTTGAACGGTTTTGTAGCGTCGGGGCGCGAGGAGGGAAGGCGCAATAAGTATGTGTGTGCGTGTGTGTGTGTGTGTGTGAGTAAGTTACGCTCAGCGCAGCTTCTAGGTCTCCAATGTCAATTTTTTTTTAAATATGTGAAATGTTTGTCGCTGTTATTGGAGTTGTCAAAGAATAGAGCGTCTTGTAGTACTGCAGTGCTTCATCAATATGTTTATGCGTAATGCTAACAAACAATAACTGACTGGGTCTGTCATCAGACCAATCACCGCCGATTAGCGTCACGCAAAGGAGTGGTTTGGAAAAATGAGTCGTTGTACGAATCATTTGGGAGTCGGAGAGCAAATCAGTTAAAAATAAATGCATATTATAAGACAAATAAAGTGTTTTTTTTTATCCTTGCATGCATGTTAAACTGTTTTTGGGAACTCCTAAAACAAAAATAGGAACATTTCAAAAGCTATGATAGGGGCTCTTTAAAGGAGTAGTTCACTTTTAAAAAAAACTTTTGCTGATAATTTACTCACCCCCATGTCATCCATATGTTCACATCTTTCTTTCTTCAGTCGAAAAGAAATTAAGGTTTTTGATGAAAACATTTCAGGATTTTCTCCATATAATGGACTTCAATGGGAACCAAACGGTTCAGTGGTCCCGGGACCACTCCCTCGAACCCACTGTTTGTCCAATAACTCATATATAGGTAGCATAAATGCTACCTGGGAATGCCCATATCTCAGCTCAGGAACGGTCTAGAGCCTCCATTTTTGCACTCAGGTCTAAGTCTCATGACCCTTTATCAGAATCCAGAGTTTCAAGAAGATCAGAGGAACTCAAAATTTTGACATGAAAAACCGACAGGTTTTCGATGCAAAAAAAAAAAAGTTTCTCTGATCTGATAGAGGGCCATGAGACTTAGGGCCAATCCCAATTCTACCCTTTACCCCTTCACTTTCCCCTTCCCCTCCGTTTTGCGCGTCCACTTGAAGGGGTAGGGTTGTCCCAATTCTCTTTTGGTTGGAGGGGGAGGGCTAGGCGGAAGGGCCAGATAGCTCTTCAAACTAAGATTTTTCGAGAGCACACTTCAAACGAAGGGGTATGAGAAGTGTCACTGCTAACCCAGGCTACAGACGCAAAATGGCTGCCCAAGCGACAAAGGAGACCCATAAATTTAAGTATTTGTGGCTTTAATAAGTATTGTAACGACAAATAATGTGAGGTGAGGTGAGGTCAGTGTTGCTACATGGCAGTACTATGGAGACATGCACAAGGTTTTGGGTGCCCGGCCTGCGATGGACCACCCCTGTGGTGGTGGCATCATTCCAACCAGAAGCAGAGGATCCCATGACAATCCTCATGGTGAGGCTAAAGATTTACGTAATTCAGCTTTTTCATGAATTCCACCATCAGATTTGTAAACATTCTTTTTAAATTTCTTGAGGAGATATTTGCTGAAAGTTTCTAAAAAGTAACATTTGCCTTGTTTTGTTTTTTTTAGGATATTGTGGAGCCCTCCACCTCAGAGGCATCCTGGACACCTGACACAGGAACCAGTAGAATGCTAACCAGTGCCCCAGCAGCAGCGAGTGCCATCACATCTAGGAGGAGGTCCAATCCTATTATGGAGTTCCTGATCGAGGAGGCCCTTCAGGAGCAAAGGCGCCATGAAGAGAGTGAGGCGAAGACACAGCGGTTTTTAGACCTCTTTGAAAGAATGATTGATAAGATGTGAAAATAATTACTTGTTAAATTTGCACAACTGAAACAACATTAAAAAAATGTAACAATAACTTTTATACAAAAAACAAACACATGAATGCCAACGGTTTATAAATTGGGGCAAGACAGTAGAAGAACAATACTCTGAAATTCTTAGATATATTACATCTATACAATTCTCATGAAAATCAACAGTGCAACATGTCTCTTCATGTGGCCTGCACATCCCCGGAAACTTGGGCAGCCAGTGCATCTCGTGCAGCATTCCCTGAGGCTTCGTTGAATGCCATTGGTTCATGGGGAGGATGGGGGTCAAGATCGTCCCTGGCAATATCCTCGTCAGGATCCAGTGTGTCCCCATTGTCCAAGCACACATTGTGTAAGAATGCACATGAAGCGATAACCTGAGGTGCAAAGGTAGGTTTGACTTCCAGTGCCCGGAAGAGAGTTGACCTCCACCTTGTTTTCATTACTCCAATCTCTGGATTCTGATAGAGGGCCATGAGACTTAGACCTGAGTGCAACAATGGAGGCTCTAGACCCTTCCAGAGCTGAGATATTGAGATGCCACGTAACATTTATCCCACTATTTTTATGATGGCATAAATGCTACGTAGGATGTCCATATCTCAGCTCAGGAAGGGTCTAGAGCCTCCATTTTTGCACTCAGGTCTAAGTCTCATGGCCCTCTATCAGTATCCAGAGTTTCAAGAAGATTGGAGAAACTTATTTTTTACACAAAAAAACAAAACAAAAGGGGTACCACTGTCGTTTTTTTTCGGGTCGAAAATTTTTAGTTCCTCCAATCTTCTTGAAACTCTGGATTCTGATAGAGGCC